GGATGAGGAAACTGAGCCCCTGCCTTTGGAGGTCTGGGGAGGCCCACCGACCTGTGCCCGGGGTCCTGGTGCGGGGCGGGGGATGGGGGGTGGTGGTGAGGGGAACGCGGATCCTCCTTAGGGGTTTGTACGAAACGGGGGGGCCCTTGCTCTCTGGTGGAGTCATATCTTCCCAACTGGGGCTCCTGGTGGGGACCTGGTGGAGTCATATCTTCCCAACTGGGGCTCTGAGGGGTTCGCGCGGTCCTGCCCTCGAGGGTGGTGGGAAGGAGGCAAGGGTTGTGTGTGCCCATCTCTTGGGAACGCACCGTCCTGTCCATAGGAGTGTGGGGAGTCCAGGGCTGTCCACTCAGAGGTAGAGGTGGGGGGCATAATCCTACCCTCCCGGGTTGGGGGTTGGGGTGACAGGGCGCCCTGGCCTTTGGTGTGTGGGGGAAACAGTACTACTCTCTAGAGCAGCAATTTTCAACCGTGTGCGGCAGGAAGCACACTGCTGTGCCATAAGAATTCTTAAAACATGCAATACCTGATTATTCAATAGGGGGCACTGGCCTCTTTTTCACTAGATTGTAAAACAACAAACAACCAACCAAAGACAACAGTCAGCGCAACGATAGCCGACCGGGATAAATGAATCAAAATTATTCCAATATGGTTTTTTTTGCCAGATGGGCAGAAAATATAATACAGTTTTTGTTGTGCCCCAGAATGTTGGTAATGATGTGTGTCCTGAGATGAAAAAGGTTGAAATCTTTGCTCCAGGGAAACACATTGCCATTGGGAGTCAAGGGGGCACCTGGCTTAGCCCTGTAGGGTTGGGGGAGACTCAGTCCTGACCTGGGGAGCTCTGGGTCATTCGTTCATGCATCCATTCGTTCATTCTATAGGTATTTATGGGTCACTTACTAAGTGCCAAGCATGCAGGCACCACGGCTACCTGCCTTGGTGGAGACCCCAGCCAAGTGGTTTTGGTGGGCACCAATCAAATCATCCCAAATGACTGTAAAATTGGTCATTTAAAGACGTGTATGGTGCTCTCTCTCCAGATAGGAGCTGGTCACATCTCCGCGCCTTTGTAAAATCCATTCTCTGGCCGCCTCACAATCCCAAATTCGCTCAGTCTTCTCGAAAGGCATCCCAGGAGAAGCCCACGCACGTCGGGGCAGGGCTCTGGGGCGGCTCAGAATTGTTTAGGTGCTGGGACCCCGGAGCCAGCGGAGAAGACTAGGAACGGGAAAGAGGGATTGGATTCCGGGCTTCCATCCCGAACAAGGAGCCCTGGGGGCGGGCAGTGGGCGGGGCAGTGGGGGAAGGAGCCCGGCAGCGGCGGGGCCTTTGCACGCTACCGAGAGGCCTCCTGGAGCCCCGCCTCCGGTCTGGCAACCAGCGTGTGGCTGCATTTCTGGGCGGGGCTACGGAAGGCGGAGCTTTGAGTGGAAAGACCCCCCCTGTTATAGGTGGTTTCGTTAAGGCAGGGGCGGGCCTTCAGGCAGACTCGCCTTCTGGTTGGCTACGGCGGTGGTGGGCGGGACTTTGAGGAGAAAGGGCGTGGCCGTCCCGCGGGCGGTGGGCAGTGGGCGGTGCTTAGGCTTGGAGGGCAAAGGTCCGGTGTCGCGGTTTCGCTGGCGACCGTCTTTTGGTTCCGGCCCTCGGTACCGGGCCGGGTGGAGGGGTCTATGGGGCCGAGCGGCACGATGCGGAGACTGCAGGTGGTCCTGGGCCATCTGAACGGCCGGCCCGAC